AATGAGCGCCCAATCGAGGGGCGGGGGCGGGGTCGAGTCGCGGGCCCCACTCGCGCAGCGGGCGACTCCGCGGTCTGGCCCGGCTCCCCCTGCAGGTACGCGTGGGAGGAGGGCGCCCACCGTGCAGCGCCGGGCAGAGGGCCTGGGGGCCGGGGACAGTCGTCCTGCCCGCTCCGCCCGCTCTCTGGGCCACCGCGGAGCGGCTCCCCTCGCCTCGATCCTTCCCTGGCAGTCCCTGACCGACTCCCCCTGGAACTCTCCGGAGCGCTCACGTGCCTGAGCTCGTCAAACGGCTGGTCCTGAGTTAGGCTGCAGAAAATGTGTTCTCCGAGGCCGCAGCCCCGCTCATGGCTCGCTCGGTGTCCGTCCGGCCTGGAGACCGGTCACACATCCCTCCCCGCAGCCCGGGGTCTGGCCTGCACGGGCTCGCGGAGTCTGTTGCAGCCGGTCCTCAACCCTCTCCCCGGTCTCTTGGTGGACGGTCATACTAAGCCTGACCCCCCTCTGTCCCCGGCCTGAGCCCTCACAGGTCCCCTCTGGGGTCTGTGCAATGAAGGGCACCCCTGACTTGAGTCTGGAACTTCCTCCACCGCACACACACCTGCTCTCCCTCATCCGGGCTCGTCCTAGCAAAGGGACCTCGCCAGGGGAGTCTACAAACCGCAAAACTCTCCGTTTTCCAAAGGAGAGGATGGGACCACCCTGAGGCCAGCCCCACGGCTGTTCCAGCCTCCCCCTGCCTGAGAGAGGGCCTAAGGCAGGCCAGCTGGGGATGGGGTGGCGGGAGGCTCCCCAGCTCCGTCTTGTCTTCTGCATCTCCTTCCCCTGGGCGGATAGGAGGGAACTCCTGAGTGGGGCAGTCAGGCAGGGCCCGCTGCCCAGCCCCCAGGAGAGGGAGGGGGCTGCAGGAAGTGTTGCAAAGCCAGGCCCAGTCCTGCTCGGCACCGCCCCCACCTCCCTGCCCCTGTGAGGAAGGCCTTCTGGGAGCCACCGGCTGTGAACTGTGGGGACACTCCCAGGGCCTGAGAAATCGGGAACTCCACTGCATCTGACCACAGAGGCCAGGAGAGGGCCAGGGGCCTCCACCTTCCGCACTCCTGGAGCCTCCACCTTACCCCCACTCTGAGACTAGAACATGCTGGGCTTCATTAGCACCCCCCCCCAGACTGGGCTACTGAGGCTCAGAAAGGGCACATGACTGCCCCAGGGCACACAGCTGGCAGGAGCTAAGGAGAAGAAAGGGTCTGGGGAGGTCTGGTAAAGTGGGCTGGGGCTGGGGCTGGCGACCGCAGGTGGTGTGGGGGGTAAGGACGCTGCACTCCCACTCAGCTGACTGCAGTTTGAGGCCCAGACCTGGTGGGTCTTGCTTTCTCACTCTCCCTCTCTCTTTCTCTTTCACTCTGTCCCTCTCTGGTCAAGTTTAAATAAATAAATTAATTAAATTAAATAATTCTTTTAAAAATATGTATTTTTAAAAACTTGGCTGGGGTTGTCAAGAAACCCCTGGAAGAACTTCCTGTTGAGACCTGGAACTTCCTGGTCAGGATGGGGCCAAGAGCGACCCCGTGGGTGGGGCAGGGCACCACGACCCTCAGCACAGCAGCCCCACCGCCGTCCCAGAGCTGGGTGTCCTGACCTGCTCTGTCTTGGCCACAACAGGGACCACCCTGTGCTGGCCGCAGGGCTCAGAGAGAGGATGCCTGCAGCCCGGGGGTTAGGGTCAGAGGGCTCCCGAGTCCACCACTGCCTTGTGGGGATCTCAGGAGGAAGGAGCAGCAGGGCTCAAAGACCCAAGTCCCTGGGCCAGGGAAGCCAGTCCACAGGATGGACTGCATCACCAAACCCCAGGTGGCTGGGGAGAGGGCGCCCAGGAGCCTGGTCTCCTCAAATCCAGGACGCAGGCTGCTGCAGGGCCGTGGGGGGCGGGGTGCAGTGGCGTCCACGACCCGCTCCGTCCACACCGCTCCTTCCTCCCAGCTGCTGCCAGCCCAGACAGTGCGCTCATTGTTCCAGCCTCCGGGAGCCTGTGTGCGACTGTGTGCTCTGTCTCTGTGCGACGGGGCATTGCTGTGTCTGTGTGGGACTTTGTGAGTGCGCGTGACCAGGTGGGGACGTTCCTGAGGGATGCCTGCATCTTTGGCTCTGGGGATTCAAGGGTGCAAGCGCCTTGGTAACTCCTGGCACCCCTGGGACTTTCTCGGTGTGGCCTGACCCTCCTTGCGACTGTGTCTGGGTGACTGTGGGTGTGTAACTATGAGTGTGTGTGGCTGTGTGAGAGACCGTGAGCTGCAAAGAGAGTGTGTTCCCATGGGGGGCTGAGTGCTTCAGGGGTCACTGGCCCCCTTGGAGGCAAGGGCTTCTGCCAGGACAGTGACGGGGAGAGGAAGCCTGGAAAGGACAGGGTGATTCTGGGGCGGATGAGGAGGGACGCTGCAGGGACCTGAGACCCCCATTCACACACCACCGGTCCCAGCTTTCCTGGGGGCT